GGTTGTCTAGTCCAAGGTTGGATATGGTTGGCAAGTCCGAGGGAGGCAGTTCTTTTTAGGGTAGGCCTAACCTAGCTAGGGTAGGTTTTAGGGTAGGAATTGCCTGAGAATAATGTATAACTATTCCCGACTGAGTTGAAGAGTTACTGTAGGGTGCTCCCACCTTTCCAAAAGGTCACCTTTGCTTTCTGTTGGAGTTAGACTATCAGGCCAGAAACATGCAGGCTCGTTGGACTTTTGTCAGTTAAGGTCTGTTGTGGAAATGATAGGCACCAATATGTTCAGATGAAAGATGCAGCTACTCAAATCTGAGATGTATGCTTTCTTAATATCCCTAAAGGCTTGCATTCTGCACTGCTACGCCTTCTTGCAACTAACTATCCACACCTCTGCATTGTGGAAGACTGGATCTGTGAGGAACAGATCACGGGCACCGATGCCTTACTGAGGAGGATGCTTCTTACCAACATTGCGAAGAATCACTCTCCCACACAGCTCCAGGAAGGTAAATAGCTTCAGTTGAAGTAAGCGATGGTCTTTCCAAATCGGTTGGAATAGAGCGGGCTTCAGGACCGTGTAGTTGTTTAATTCATACTGCATTTGTATAATGAAAATGTTCTGCTGCCAAGTCAGAAAAAATGTCAGAAGTCCAGTTTTACCAAGATCCCATTGTCTTTATTTTATAGCATTTTCCATGCTGCCTGGAAATCATACCCAGCTGATGCAGATCTTGGAACATTTAACACTTCTCTCAGCTGGCGAATTGATCCCCTACGCAGAAGTTTTGACATCAAATATGAATTGCTTGCTGAACGCTGGAGTGCCTCGGAGGATTCTTCAGACCGTCAATAAACTTTGGATGGTTCTTAACACTGTGATGCCAAGAAGGTAGGTTCAAAGTGCTGTTTAGTTTGTTGTTGCAGATAGGTGGAATGCCACTGTCTTTCAAACATAATGACATACTGCCTTTGGGAAACTGGAGGTTGTGACTGAATAGAATGTGTTGGAGTTGCATTCCCTGTTGCTTTTCAAAAGGTTAAACATTTGCATTTAAAAGGAAGTTTTTTCTCGTCCCTGAGGGGCGAAAAAAGTCACCACTTTGCTTAAAATACAGGAGCATGGTTTTATAGTGTGCATTGTGTACGCCGAATTGCTGCTGAAACACGAAGTCGCTTTGGTAAGAACATGCCTGTGCTGAGGAAGTGGAAGCTGTATTGCAGTGGAGATAGTTTGATTGCTGTAATTCCACTGAATGTAACTTAACTACATCTTGGTTAACTTCAAGGGCTGCAAATGGAGTGTGGGTTTGGTGCTGCTTGACAGGCCTAGAAAAACACAGCTCATTGAGATAAGTGAGTGTCCAGATGTTTATGTGATCGTTATTCTCTTACAGATTATCTAATTAAAAAGATCATGTCATTCTAGGTTGTGGGTGATGACTGTTAATGCGCTGCAGCCTTCAGTAAAAATAATCCGACAGCAGAACTACACTCAGAACGATCTGATGATTGATCCTTTGATTGTGCTAAGGTGTGATCAGAGAGTTCACAGGTAAGCATCTCCTGCCTCTAGCTTGCTAGGGTCTGTGGTACTTACAGTGATGCACAGTGAATGCCCCAGATAAAGGCGTCTCACAGAAAACTTCTGAAAGCATTCAGTACTTCAAAATTATTTTCAAACAATTCGTGTGAGCTTGAAAGTTCCATCTTTTTTGTAGTAAGCATGTTGGTTGGAGTGAGCCATGCGTGCTGCTTCCGCATGTCGTGCCGTCCAGCTGAGTGTCTTGCTGCACAACCTTACATTCGGTTCTGTTCTGGAAACTTTGGGCTGGTTCATCCATTTTAGATTTATCCGTGAACTTGTTCTAAGCAGAGGTTGCAGCATGCTTAAGATGGCTGCTGCCACGTGGTGGTGGTGGTGGTGGAGGCTGTAGCTGAACCATGCTTCCACTGCACACTGTCTTTTGCCATCCCTCACCGACCTGTAGGTCTTCTGTCTTGTGGGGTCAGAGTTTCTGCCAGCGGGTGCTCGACGGATGTGACAGACGTAGATTTGCTTCATTTCCCAAGAAAGTCTTTCCGTAGTGCTTGAAATCAGTTCCTCTAGATGTCAGTGATGACAGAGGAGGATGTGTAGTGCTGCTTTGTGGCTCGGATGCAGAAGAGTAAGCTGAGAATTTTAGTAGTGAAAATGATCCTAATCGATAGCAATGGACCAGCTTTTAAGGAGAATATGAAATAATGGAAACAATAAGTCAGAATTCCTAAATTATAACTTTGCTTTTTTGTAGGAATGAAGAAAATAGCATCTGTTACTCTAAAATGATATGGTTGTTAATTTTAAATGTACTTTAGCCCCTAGCTTCATTTCTTGCGTATTCTTTTTCATGTTTTCTGCCAGTTACAGTTTATTTTTCCCCTTTTTTATTATCCTTTTGTTGATAATAAATGGCTAATAGTCAACTTGATTTGTTCTTCATGTTCTCATTTGTGTATATCTGTCGCCCCTTGCCTTTTAGCCGTTGAGCCTTGAATCCGGTTTTAATGAGTTGCTACAACTCTCCTAGACTTCAAGTTTCTGTTGATGACATCTTTATTCCCGAACCCATAGGTGAAATATTTAAATGTATGTTCCTTCAGCCCTGGATGCAAATTGAAAATCCTACGTTTCTAAAACTGTTAGGGGGATTAATAATGCAGATGTGATTTGAAAACCACCATCTTAGGGCTGTGGAAGCAGTTCAGGCCTTGTCTGTCTTTTCCTCCCCATTCAGATAGTCCTTTATTTCACGTACAGCTGATCCTTTTCGGGTTTCCTTTGTTCATGAGAAATCAGCCTCCTCAGCAGTTCCTTGTTTTTCTGGGATGTCATGCACACGTGTGTGCGTGAGAGATGTAGGCCTGAATGGCAGGGCAGCAGAAGGGATCGTGACCGTTGCTCTTCTGCTGCGCTGGGGAAAACAGCTGTAGTGTGAACCAGACTACAACCAAATGAACCTTTGAGGAGCGCTTTTAGTTCATATTATTATTGTCTTACTGTTCTGCCTACTGAAATACCGGTATTTATCATGTGTTCCTGTATCAGGAGTCCTCCTCTGATGGATATAACTTTGCACATGTTGAACGGATATCTTCTTGCTTCAAAAGCTTACCTCAATTCTCACCTGAAAGAAACGGCAGAGCTGGACATTAGGCCATCCCAAAACAACACAGTGGGTCCAGAGGCCCCAGAAGTTACAAGGGAAGAATTAAAAAATGCATTGCTTGCAGCTCAGGTAAGGGGGGGAGAAATGGATTTTAAAAGATGTGAGGAAAGACAATGATAAAACAGAAGTACAGAAACAGGAAATTTAGAAAGGACACCTTTTTACTTTTTTTACTAACTTTTGTTGCCACAAGAAAGAAAACCACCTGTGTATTCAGACTGTCAAATGTTTTCAGTCCTCTGTTTTCTAGTCTGAAGCATCGAGCTGGGTAACTGCTTTGGTAGTGTTCTTTTCTGTTAGAACAGCCGAGTTCTGCTTACTACCCGTTTTGCCTTACCGATTGTGCTATCCAGAAGCTCTTTCTGTACTTAGATTTGGAGCAGTAAAACATGAATGGATGTGACAGACATATGCACGATCATTTGAAATATGTTATTTAAGAGAAGCAGCCAACTTTGCAAAGTGTGAGGCTGAAGAATGGTTAACTTAGCAGCTTGATGTGATGGGAATTCTTGAGTAATCGTGTTTCACGGACTGTCTCGTCTTACCTCTGTCTGGAAGAATGTCACATATATAGTCCCTATTAGAAGACGATTTTCAGTTAATAGTAATTTCTGTATTTAAATGAGTGGTGTAGTCTCTCCTGAATACTGTGAATTACATGCCCATGAGCATATTTTGTCTGATCTGGATGCTTTAAGGGACATTGGATATTTATTTTGAAACAGTATGAGATTCCGTTTAATTTACACATTTGATCTGTGATTATGATGATCTGTTGCATTTAAGCATCTGTTCTTTGAGTCTTGATTCAGACAAAGTGTTAGGGTTTTTTTAATGTTCTACAAGATTTGTGATTCTTGATCTAAGTTGTTTTTATTCTCTATAAAAAATATAGCTAGATACTCTATCCACCTGACAGTCTTCCGTTTCATCAGTTGTCATCACTTTGTATTTGATTGCATGTTCAGTTGCTTGTTTTCTTCACAGGACAGTGCTGCTGTGCAGATTCTTCTGGAGATCTGCTTACCTACAGAAGAAGAGAAAGCCCAGAGCAGTAATACCCACAGTTTGCTGAAGAGTGTTCATAGTACCCCAGGCCCTGAGAGTCCTGAACCAGAAGGAGAAGAAGAACAAGATAGCTTGCTGTGTAACCTTCGAGAGGTCCAGTGTCTGATCTGCTGTCTGCTGCACCAGATGTATATAGCCGATCCCAACTTAGTCAAACTAGTTCATTTCCAGGTCTGTTTTGCACTATTTTAGTTCTTGCATGCTAAGAAGATGCTAAGATCATTCTCTTTCTGGTGAAGAAAGAGACAAATAAAGTGGTCAGAGGATGTTGAATGCTGCTCAGAAATTATAATGGCTCACTTCTCTGCTTTCTGTCTTGCCAAATTTGTAGTACCTGCATTTTCTCCAGATGGTAGTGTTTGGACTCTGTGTTGTAGCCAAGGTGGGAGCAGCTAAACCTGTTCCTCATCGCTGAACACATCCTTTGTGCCTCTGCCCTTTTTTTATACCAAAAGAATTTGTCCATTCTGGGCCAAGGAAAACTGGCCTAATCATCTCATAATTACTTGTTCCACATCTTTTGTGGGTTACTTTTTTTCTGGCCATGGTTTTAAATGGGTATACCCATTATTCAAAACTGTAATTTGGCTTCAAAAGTAAACATCATCTTATCTTTCCTTTTTGTTAGGGCACAGTTTATCTCCTTAGAGTAGAAGGAGAAAGGTTGCCCCTGCCAAAGCAGCTGTAGGCCTTCAAAAAAAGGAGAGAAAGATCAGCATTTTTTTTTTATATAAATGTGGTTTTGGTGTGTGTTAAATTGGTTGTTGCCAGATGGAAGTTGCTTTAAAAGGAGTTGATTTGCCTTGACCTGGAACTGATTAAGTGACTAAAAAAAGTCATAATGGTGCAGTCGCAAGATAAGCAAGTTGGGGCCTGTGGTGAAGTTTGGAACACAGGGGAGACAGGAGGAAAGGGTCGCTGCAGCCTGGGCTACTTTGGGGAGTGGAGGGAGAGTTTCTGTGCAAACAATACATTGAATATTGAGGATAAAGAACTGATTCAGACCCTGAGTTTGTCACCCAGCCTGCCTCTCGTTGCCTTGGGTTACAGGCCTGTGGCTTATAATTCTGAATAAAAGAGATTTACAAGTCTTAGTTTTGAAAAATACATTAGCGCAGATCTGCCTTAAAAGCTTTAATTTGTAATTAAAATTTATTTTTTAATTTTTAAAAAGCCTTTGACATACCTGCTTTCTTAATCACACAGGGTTATCCATGTGAACTTCTGGCACTGACAGTGGCAGGGATTCCGTCGATGCACATCTGTCTGGATTTCATACCAGAGCTCATTGCGCAGCCTGAACTTGAAAAACAGGTACTGTACAGTCAGCTGGTTTGAGAGTCACTGGAAGTAGTTGACTGTGATCAAGTACTGGTTAAGGGGAGGAGATAAAAGATCACTAAAAAGAGTCCTGTTCTAACGTGCCTGGGATATTAAGGTGATATCTGTGGCACCTTCACTTTAAATGAAAGGCCTGGCCTTTAAATCCCCTTTCAAACTCGGGATTGTGACAACTCCAACATAACCCTGTGTGCACTTGCTCAGGAAGTACTCGTGAATTTCAATATCACCTTCAAGAACATGAATAAAAGCACTTTTCAATAATAACTTTCATTCATTCTTTATATTGAGTATAAATCAGTTGGCAAAAGTTTTGCCTACTTGTTTTTATCTGATACTTTATTCCTACAGGAATTTCTATGAAGATTTAAATTTTGAAAACCTTTTTTGCAAGGTTACTTTGTAGAACAGGTAAAGCAGCCTTCAGATAAAAATTTTAATCGTTCTCATGGGAAGTTTGACTACTCAGGTTTTTTCCTGGGAATATTACTGCTGTTTCTTGAAGCAAGCTTGAGACAAGACTGTAATGTGTACATTTGGAAATCAGTTTGAATTTCTCCTTTGCCACTTGTCTTACGGGTTCCTTTCCTCGTCTGTCGGCAAGAAAAAAGCCTGCTGGCATGACATGGGTGGCTTTCCTGAAAGTTGTGCTATGAAATCTGAAGTGGTTTCTTCTCACAACAGGCTCAGCAAAGGGGGAGTCAAGAGCTTGATTTCGAAATGTTTCACTAATGATTTTGAAAGTCTTTTCATGATGATTATGAAAACCAGTGGCAAATAATCTATTATTACTGCTTTCTAAAGCAATTTGTAGACCTTGATTTGGTGTACTGTGACAAGGGGAGACAACCTATTTGGCTAGTTGTGGGTAACTGGTATTTGTTGGGCTAAAGATTCCTCTGTTCTCTATATTGAGCAAACTCTGTGGTTGCTCTTATTTAATCCCTTCTCAAATATTAAGTTACTGCTGATGAGAGGGCGCTCAACTAAAGTTAAATCTAGGACACACCAGACCTTAAGCACGTTTTACAAGGATTGTATTGTAAATTTTGTGTTGCTTTGTTGCTCATTGTTAATGTCAGAACAAATTGTGTCTGGGGAGCAGATCCTGCAACACTAACGCTGGTGCTTTGTTTGATGTTAAATACGTGTGAGGCTTTTTTCCTTGATGCCAGCAGAAAAAAAAAATTCACAATAACTATTATTAAGGCTTTTCTCTGGCTTTAATTTCCTCATTGGTAAAACAGAGAATATTTACTAACTCTTAAATTACGTGAGGAGCTTTGGATAGACAGTGCAAAACAATCTGTAACTTTACTGCTTATTTCTCTTTTGCCTTTCACCTACTTAACAGATATTTGCCATCCAGTTACTTTCATTTTTGTGTATCCAGTACGCACTACCTAAATCTCTCAGTGTGGCTCGTTTAGCCATCAATGTGATGGGAACCCTGCTCACAGGTAAGCAGTCCAGCAACCCCTAAATACTTTGTTGTGTAAATGAGAATTATTTGTCTAGGTTGAATGCTGTTTTGCCTAAATGGCACTGTGTTAATTACGACTGTAAAAGTGACAGCAGTTCTTGACTGGATTTTTATAATAATTCTTTTTTACTTAACCACATCCTTTTCCTTAATAGTTTTGATCCAGTCGAAGCGGCATGCCTTTTTTATGCCGACCCTGCCTTGCTTGGTGTCGTTCTGTCAAGCGTTTCCTCCTTTGTATGAGGATATTATGTCTCTGCTGATACAAATAGGACAAGTTTGTGCCTCTGATGTTGCTACGCAAACAAGAGACTTCGACCCGATTATTACACGTAAGTAAAGCACCTTGTATTTCAAAAGTAAGGTCATGGTCCCAGGGAGAAAATTATGTTAAGGTTTCAAAAGTTTGAGTATAATTGGAATTCAGTATGAAATTTACTGTTGTTGTCTTGTAAATATAGAAGGAATAGGGATAGGTAGATTTGCTAGATTGGAGAAGGGAGTTCAGAGGCTCAGGGGGCTGAAAGTACCCTTTTGTTAAGCTTTGTACTGCCTGCCTTCTCTCTGATTTCCCTGCTTGTATATACCAGAGGTATCCCTGCATGCAAGTGTTGTGCATTGGCCGTTGTAGTCTACAGATGAAAGACGTGAGCAAAGGCCATTGGCTTTTGGGAACACAAGGATGTTTCAGCCCCTCAGCTGTAATGGCCTCATAAATCTTCCTAATCTGTTGGAAATGCAGAGCCAAATGAAGTCTTACACGTGACAGTGTGGAGGGATAGATATATAGGGATTGTGTGAACACAGATTAACTGTTTCAGTGTATCAGCTGATCTTGAGCATGTTTTTGTCTCTTTTCTGACTAAAGACAAATGCTCTGTTCATGTGATACAAAGTTCCCTAATGCTATCTCTGCTAGGATATTTATGTTAAAAGAAGTAAGAGGGAATATAAAAAACCCCAAGGGAGTCAAACGTAGGTAAATGAAAACATAATGTTGTAGTGTCTTTAGAAATAATCTGTGGAGTTAAGCCTGGTGCACGAAATAGCGAAGGCTCAAATTTGCAGTTTCATAGCATATGTTATGGGTGGAATAGAATAATTTAAAAAGACATATTTATTTCTATGTACTTTGCTGCTTCTACTTAATTTTCTAGGTCTCCAGCAACTAAAGGAGAAACCACATGAGGCATCAGGATTTCATAAAGATTCATCTAACAAAAGTTGTTCAAGGGACATTGCAAGCATGGACCCTGACGTTCAGTTGTGCCAGTGTGTTGAAAATACTATCATTGAAATAATTAACATGAGCGTAAGCGGAGTTTAGGAGGAACGCAGATGAAATTGTACTGTGCTATTAGTCCCACAGTCTGTGGTGCCTGAATTTAGAGAAAGCTGTGAAAGTGGACTGAGGAACTGGACCACAAGAAGTCCCCATTTGATTCAGTTACGGCTGAAAAGAAAAAAAAAATCTTTGGAGAGGCTTATGCTGCTTCCAGTGAAAACTTTTGAGGCTGATGGGTTCAGTAAATAATTTCCAGTGAAACTGAGTGTGATTTTCAGGCTTGCTTGGTTTCTGAAGCGATACAGCAACACACCCTAAAGGGCTGGATAGCACTCTGCAAAGTGAACGCTGAGTTTGTTGCGCAAACAGCAAAAACGATGGGTAAGGAAAATTTGAGACTGAAGCACGTTGCTTGTGTTAAATGAACTACTGTTCCCGCGCCTTGCCGAGCGAGATGGAATAAAATGCTCCAAGGAAAACTTGAAAAAGTGGTGTAGTAACTTGCACCATCCCATTGAGTACTAAGAAAATGCTTTAACTTTTTGTGTTTCAATACATTGGTCAAAGTTTCAGTTCACGAGACCAGGAACTTCATTTAAAGATCAGCCAGACTTCATGAAAAATTTGAAACTCGTCTAAAAGTCTCTTAAAAAAAAAGTACAACTACAAAATGAGCTGTATAAATGTGATTTTTAAAGAATATGTATTTTTAATGCAGCTCAGATGGTTTGATATTTTCTTAACATCACTTAGTTTAAGAGAGATGAGAGACTTCAAGAAGGACAGGTTTCAGCCATACCAAAGCGCTTACGTGCAGCTCAGTGGGCAAGAAGGCTGAATCCTTTGTGCTGCATGCACGATGTTGGTTGTTCTTTCATATACAAAAGCTGCAGGGTTTAGCCTCGACAGCTTTATTTTGTGGCGTTGCAGAAGGACGTGTATGATGCAATATATGAAAATTTGTTGAAGGTTGCACAAGCTCTTATGTGAAGCAGCAAATGTTTTTGTGGCACAGAAAGAAAATTAAGGTTTTGCAGTTGTGCCAGAATTGAGTGTAGTACTTCAACGCTAATTGCTAATTGAATTGCTAAATTTGTCAGTCCAGCGCTTGCTCTTAAATCACACGATCCAAGGTTCTTAGATAAGTAAAACATTTCTCAATTAAAACCAGTTTATATTCCAGAAATAATGGTCTGACTCTTCAGTGTGGCCTTGAGAAAGTCTTGTGTAGCTTGTCTTCTGCCCATGCCGGGCATTGATTTAGGAAGGCTGCCAGTGAATTCCCAAACACCCTTGGGTTCACATTCCAGGATTACTAGCCTGCTGTAACCATCTGGTAACACCACCTGGCTACCAAGTATATTTTTGTCATCTTGATGTGAAGTATGTAAATAATCTAAATGTATGTATTTTTTCCCTCTTTTCTAAGTGTGGTATGTAAATTAAAAAACCCTTGTGTATGACGTAATTTCAAAGGAACTTGCCTGTATTGGTTTTAATTTTTCCAGATTCTTGCCCCGTTTCACCGGGGGAGTTCCCCCGGGCACCTCCACCGGGAGCGGAGGGAGCCGGGGCC